TGGATTTTTTGGACTGAAACTTCCAGAATTCTACCAGGCACAATTCTAGAAACTGCAGGGAAGAAATAAAATCCCATAGACCGGGGTCCCCAACTCCCGGTACACAGCCTGGTGCTGGTCTGTGGGCTTCTTTGAACTGGGCCGCGGACACGGATCCCCCCCCCTCGCATGCACGGCAAGCATGTCACATTTGTGGAGGGGTGTGTTGTGCTCGTGCATATGTCCACTCACGCGACACCCCCTCACAAGCTTGACACATATCCCGCAAGTGGGACACACCCACCCAGGAGAGTGGGGGTGCCTCCACCCACACACACACAAAGCCCACACCCCAACCGGCCCATGGTCCGAAAAAGGTTGGGGACCACTGTCACAGAGCACCTACATGCGAGCCATTTTTCTTATTTCATGAAGGATACTGCCCTAGTGGTGGTGGAGAATGGCAATGTTCCATGGGAGGCTTCATGAGATGGGTAATTTTTTTAAAAGAGGTACCCTCTACAGCAGCGCTCGCCAACCTTTTTCAGTCCGCTGTGAGAGATTGAGTGCGTGAGGGGGGTGGGGTGGGAGGTCTTTCTAGGCAGCCCAGTCCGACTCAGGCCACGAACTGGCACCGGGCTGTGGACCAGGGGTTGGGGACCTCTGCTCTACAGAGTCTAACAGGCAGTGAAACTACATATATCTTATGGCTCCTATGGAACACAGTCTCTGTCATCTATCATCAGGACATTCTCCTTCTTGAACTGAGAAAAATGGCAGCAGAGCCTCATGCATACAGTAGGTAATGAAAGCTGCTCTGCAGATTTTCCTTTCAGGGAGGGGGCTGCAGCTTTCAGGATTCTGCCTAGGGGGGTTCTGGGTGAATTTAAGGAGTTACAGTCCACGAAACCTGAAAGTTCTATTCCTAATAATTTGCTGGTGGGTGTCCCCCTTGAGGTTTTTTTTTTGCATGTTCATTCAGATTTCATTCCAGATACAGTTTACATAAAAGCAACATTGTTAAGACAATAGCAAAGAAAAATTAACAAAAGTGATGATAGAATTTTCACCAGTCTGCCTAACTAAGAGAATCTCATCTCATTCTTCTAGAATTTTAAAAACAAAAACTCCAAAGAAATGCCTGAAAGTCTAAGACATTTGACAATTCCCCTGTTGGACTATATGGTTCAGTGGGCAATTAGCAACCAGATTATGCTGGAGATAAGGAGCAGAATTCTTTATGGCTTTCACAAGCAATCAACTCAACATGATCCCATTCTAGCATCTTAACATATCTGATTCAAACTGTGAAGATCAAAGTTACAGCACACCAATTTTCATGCTAGAGAAATCTGTTCCTAAAGACCTGAGCAGATAACAGAGGCATTTATTGCAACAATCCCTACTATTCTGTGACAAATATTTTCTTTGCTTAAGAATGAATACAATAGTTGTGGGCTATTTTTTTAAAGTGAGAAAGAAGAGGAAAACTAAAGGTTTACATATGCTGGAGAACATATATTTCATATATTGAATGTATAATAAATGTAACTGGAAATTAAGTTTTTAAAAGAACAGCTAAAGATAAATATTTCAAACAATGTTATAATTTGCTAAAGTAAACTGCGCCACTCTAGCTGTGTTTTCTCCATTTCACTCCTAGCAACGTCCTGCCCAAAATGGAAAAACAAAACAAAGCAACCAAACACTTAATATGGACTACTGTCCAGAACATATATAAGATTCCAAACTTCTGATCTCTGATTTATAATACTTTCTCCACTGGCCCAAAAAGCTCTGAGCACTAAAGTGAAGCTGATAATGTTGCATCAATTAAGACAGAAACGCAGTTTAGCCAGGCAATCAATGTAGTGGCCATGAATGTGACATTCCACAATTAAGATAGCAAGGATGTGACTTCTGTTTAATGGATCACTAGAAAAGCTGACATTTCCTACTATGCAGAGTGCTGCTTAATTTGCACATAAACAATGAAAAAGATTTTAAAGTTCTAATAATTAATCTGATAGAGCAGTATACACAGACAAAAATGAGGGTGTCATAAATAGCACAATGTTTATGTAACCCATTTAACATTTTGTGCAACAGAATGGCCATTTTCACAAACATGCTTTTATTTACCGTATCTGTTCTGAAAAGAGGAACCTGGAAACAGACCAGTCAGTCTGAAATCAATCCCAAGGAAAATTCTGAAGTAGATTATAAGCAGTCACTCTGAAAGCACCTTGGAAACAATGCATAATAACCAGAAGCCAACATGGTCGTCATGAACAAATCTTGCCAGACTAATCTGATCTCATTTTTTAATCAGGTAAATGGTGGAAATGCTGTAGATGTAATACATCTTGACTTCATCTCATTTTTTAATCAGGTAGCCATCCTGGTAAACGGTGGAAATGCTCTAGATGTAATATATCTTGACTTCAGCAAAGCCCTTGCCAACGTGTCCCACGATATTCTGATTACCAATCTAACTAGGTGTGCACTGGATATAACCGTCAAGTGGATACACAGTTGGTTACCAAAGTGTCCCACAATATTCTGATTACCAATCTAACTAGGTGTGCACTGGATAAAACCGTCAAGTGGATACACAGTTGGTTACAGAATTGTATTTATTAATCCTTCTCAAACTGGGATGAAGTAACAGATGGCTCTCATACAGAGCAGGGGCAGGATCTGTTCTCAACCATTCCAGAATACAGTACATGTAATAATGGGCTCAAATTACTGAAAGCCAGATTTCGAATGATCATCAGGAAAAACTTCTTAAATTTTAGAGCAGTAGGACAATGGGACCAATTACCTCAGGAGGTGGCGAGTGCTTCAACGCTAGAAGCATACAAGATCAAATTAGAACAACCATCTTTCAGATATTCCTGCACTGAGCAAGGAATTGGATTCCTGCACTGAGCAAGTGGTTGGACTCAATGGCCTTATATAAGCCCCTTTCAACTCCATGATTCTATTTATTTAAGGGATTTACAGCCACATTTTCTTCTAATAATGGGGCTCAAAGTGGTATTCTGAATAATAAGCACAAAACAAAGATCAAAGAGTAAACATAATTAAGTTAAAGGCACAATTTAAAATACACAATTAAAGAAAATGCATCACCCACCTGGTAACAAAGCCCTTCCTTGGCAACCAGTTGATTGCTGGAAGTCCAGATCTCTCTCTTCCAGTAAAAGGATGGCAGGGAGAGAGAGATGCTTTGCTCCCTCGTAAACAGTCTCAAAGCCTGGGATTTCTATCAATATTTATTTAGAAATGTATTTCCCCCCAAATATCCCCAAACTAGTTTATAAAACAAAATCCAATTTAAATGATAAGCGAGTCAAAATGAAAGTTAACAATAGTCAGGGAAAAACAAACACCCTCCTAAAAGATATTGGGAATGTCACAAGGTTAACCTCTTTACAAATAAACGTCATAATTGAGGTGACACCTGGAAAGTTCCTGTCTTGCACTCATATTACGGGTCCTCAGAACATGATCATGAGCACCAACCAGATTCATATGGCAGGAGAGGGTATTTGATATACCATGGCCCTGAGCTACTTAAAGGTTTGTAAGTACTACATTGGTAAGGATCCAAATACTCAAGTATCCGTCAGATTACGACTTTTGCCTGTAAAAAGCTAAAAGTGAAACAGTATATGTTGGATTTGAACATAAGCCACGAGACATTTTCTTTGTTTTGTTTTGTTAAAGGGGGAAAAAAAGATTATCATGAAAATATGTTTGGAAGATATTTCCAGGATCCTTGAAGGATATGTAGAAGTTACCAAGAAAATAAATTTTGAAATTCCTTGAAAACAAAATGTTACAGAAATGAAAAAAAAAATCATCTGACAGTTTCAGGCTAAACTAGTGATGGTGAAACAGATTGAGTCCATTTTAAACTCACTTCTGATTAGTCAATGAAGCTTACCATGGGTAATGGAGGTACATCTAAGCACCAAGCCCAAATCCTTCATTTGCAGTTCCCTTGTCCTTAATATGTCAAGCTTGGAAAAGTGACAACAGAAGGGAAGTAGAGAATGGCAATGTAAATGCCTGTTTTCCAAAGACATTTTAAAACTGTGGGTGTTATTTTAATCCTTAATTCTCTTCCTCCACTTTTTAAAGTGTTGTCATCCACAGCTAAAACTGAAAACCTACCAACTAGTTTCACTGTAACTTTTTCTCTCCTTTCCTGAGCAGAATGGCCAGAAAGCATATCGTAAACCTTCCAATGGAATATGTATTTCATCTAGACATGGGGATGAATATAAAAACAAATCAGGATATTAATTACTGTAAATATCCCTGATTCATCAGATATTCATTGCTTTGTATACTTGGGGTCCAGAGACCCCAAAGAATAGGAAGCAACAAATATAACCCATTTATATTCGTCCCTTCATTCCCTACCTGCTTGTGCCCCTGTGGATGAGCTGTTCCTTGGAGGCATAAGCAGAGAGAGGTTTTCCCTTCAGTGGCTTGCTAAAGCCTGCCCGAAGGGAATCCCACCCCCGGGGCTGGGTTGGTTCCCCTTTCCTCCTCTTCATATGCCTGTGTGGCATAGGAAGAGGAGGGAAAGGATAAAAGAGGGATCAAACAGATCCCCCAGCCACTGCAGGATTGCTTTGATCCCTGCTTTCCCCCTTCTTGTTAAGTCCTGTGGGGCTTAGCAAAAGGAGGGGGAAAGGGATCAAAGCAATCCCGCAGCTGCACGATCACTTTGATCCCTGCTTTTCCTCCTCTTGCTTATAGGTTATAGCAAGAGGAGGGAAACCAATTTAAAAAACAAAAACAAAGGCCTGACGAATGATTAATTGATTCGTTGTTCCTTGGGTTCCTCAGGTCACTGAGGGGGGCAATTTGTAGTTCATGACGAAGCTTCATTTTGGCGCTTCATCCCCATCTCTAATTTCATCTGTAAATAAGTGTATCAATAGGATTCGAACAACTTAGAGAAAAAAATTGGCAGAACTTAGAATAAAATGAAAGCTCACCTTACGAGGGGGTGGCCCATGGTCATCCAAATAAGTGGAATTTCCTAGAAAGAAAAACAAGTAAGGTGTAACATTAAAACATGCCTGACAATAATCATGTGACAAAGATGCAATAGTCAAGATCTAACAATGGTCTATACACATTCAAAGACCCACACGGCTTCTTTGAAGAGGCATATATACGCTGGATAAATTTACCTAACTTCTATTTTCCTTAAAAATAATTCTGTGCATAAAATAGGTATGCAAATATTCCTAACAAAGTGTTCCTGCTCTTGGACACAATGAGTGACTCTGTGCAAGCAAGCAAGCACACAGGAGGGAATGCTCTACAATAGCTGCTAGTCTTTCATTTTATAAAGCATACATTTTGCTTTCTAATTATAATACTGGAAAAAGAAATTTCAACTGGAAAGGGTTTTGTTGACCAAGCAGTACAGTCTATACTGGAATCATATATAAAATGTGTCATCGATTTATAAGATCAAATTTTAATGGTTTCTAAGTGGCCTTGACAATTTCTGGATGAATTTTTAAAAGAATTGGTTCTAAGAATAATTCTTCCAAGCAATAACAGTTCATTAAAGACTTATAAAGAATTTGCTGTGATCAACGTGCACATAAAATTCTTCTTTCTATTTCAGGTTTTTAAAGCATGCTCTTGTCCTTCTCTGGCTCATTCTGTTCAATAATTATGTTATTTAGGTTGATAAATTCTTCTTCCTCTTTATCCTGAAAGAAATATCAGAATCCAGGGTTCTTAGATTGCATCCATATGATTCCCTTCTAAATTATTATCAAGACAATAACTGCCAATGCCACAAGTTTTGTTAAGATAGCAGAGAATGCTGTCCTCCGAAGATGCCGGCCACAGAGACTAGCAAAACGTTAGGAAGAACAACCTTCAGAACACGGCCAAAGAGCCCGAAAAACTCACAACAACCATTAGATCCCATCCATGAAAGCCTTCGCGAATACCGTATTTTGTAAAGATAGTTGAAATTTGGCATGGTTATACTGTAACATTTTGGTAAATTTTGTAAACTAAATTTGAAATAACCCCGTGTTTTCGAAGAATTTTTTAAAAGTAGAACCATTTTTAGAGATTAATATTCAAACTGACATAATTGAGCACCATTTCTGAAAACTGGAGATTCAAAACCATCTCTGGTATATTAAGCTATTTTAAGCAATAAGAATGTTGTTCTTTAATAACTGAAATCTTTTAAATAATTTTTTTTTTACTTTAAAGTTTCCTCCCCTTAAGTGACCTACTGCCAGAGATCACAGGGTTTGTGGTTTAAGTCCACAGTTAAAACCACACTATCAAAATAACTGGGTAAGTAGTTATATTGTGCCTCCGCTATTGTGAGTCCTCTAACAGGCTGCATAAATTAGATTTCAACTACTGTATTTAATCTGAACGCCTAAAAAGCCAGTTTCATTACAGGTATAAATACCTGCTTCCTCTCCCATCCCTACCGTGAATTTCAGTTACCTGCTTCATTGAGCAAGACAATCAAAATATGATAAAGAACATGAGATGACAATGATCACATAAGAATGTATGTCTAAATGATAAATAGAATAAAAGTATAGTACAATTTTTGAAGGGATATAGACATACAGGATACCTCTGAACATGTATAAAAAACCCATCTGCTTTAAAACACAGACGCAAGACATATACTTCTAACAGGGTAAATTTATGTTAATTTCCTCTCTTTTCAACACTTGCAAAAGCTCAAGTCATTCTATGATTGAACTGTTAGTACAAATCACATTTCCCCAACAACAGGAAGTCTGTATGAAGAAGCAACCCTCTTTGTAACTGAGGCAGTCAACAAGAAGCTATTGATATGAAAATGTTATTAGCATTCTCTTAGTTTCACAAGGATTCTTTAATTTGTGTTAAAATAAAAATCTTTCAGTCTGTACCAAAAATATTACACTACTATCTATAGAGGGCATACAAGCATAGCTACCTTTTATTATACTCAGATGTTAAAAATAATACAAGTATGTCTGCTTTTCAGTCCATACTTCACCACAGAAGAGACCACAAAGTAGCTTTAATGAGATGAAAGACTGTTTATTTCATACATTTAATCTATAAGCAGGACACAACAACATACTGCCCCTGTAAGAGAAAGGTGTGAATAATGTTCTTTGGGACAAATCCAGCCTCCTCAGGTCACCTGGCCACCAGCTAGCAAACCAGGATTCAAGTACATATGTATAGTAATCCCTTCATGCATTATCTACTTATTTACTTAAATACCCTGTTTCCCCGAAAATAAGACCTAACCTGAAAATAAGCCCAGATTTAAAACAGCTCAAATAAACTGAAAAGACCAATCTTGCTTATAATGAAAGAGGACGTTTGGCCCCTCTCGCACACTTTTTTTTAATCCTAGAAGAATCTTGTAAATATCTTAAGCCATCTCTACGTTGGATATCATTTTCACAAACAAATACCTAAAAATATGGCAGAGGAGATAAGAAACCTCCATACTGCAAAGACAGCTATTGCACAAACCTCCCTCAACTCATTCTCTGAAACCCAGTCAGCTTGATTACTTTAGAGAGGATTCCTATGTCTAACAATTTCATCCAATCAGATAAGAAAACTAATTCGGGAGGTGGAAACCACCCCAAAATAATCTACAACTTCCGATTTGTCTGTAAAGCTAAATCCTGTTCACGTGGTTATGCTGGCATAAACTGGACCTGGGCCTTGGAAACAATCAATTTAAAATGAAGTGAAAACTTCCTATACCCTGTATTCTTCCACGGGGCTCCCTTTTATCCTGGGGAATCCTCTGAGATTTGGGACAGGACAGGGGCTTTAATAATCAAAAACTGCCACCAGATTGCCACTATAGGATTTTTTACTATTAAAGCCCGTCATATCCCAAGGGCTCCAAAAGGATTCCCCAGGAAAAAGGGAGCCCTGAAAAGTGGGATAGGAAGCTTTCAGTTTGTTTAAATGGACTGTGGTGCCCAGGTGCAGTTTATGTCAATGTAACTAAGCAAACAGAATTTCCCCCACAGTTTGGTAATTTTCCCCTCATAGCCTACTGTGTCTGAAACTATTGTCCAATTCTAAAAAGAGGAAAACTTGTAGCTGTTTTTGGCTGAAATTATTGTCTGAAATTATTGTCCAATTTTAAAAAGAGGAAAACTTGTAGCTGTTTTTGTTTCCAACTTCCGATGATAACCATAGGAGGCACACATCCTCTTAATAACATTAAAGTACTAGTTAATACGCTTGCTTCAGAATGAAACTGACTATGTCTGACACAACAGTTGCTGCTATAGGATTTAATGAGCCATGAAATCAACAGCTGCTCAGAACTTAATCAAACCAGTGATGGATTTCCTTCTTTGCATCCTGAATAAAGTCCAATATAGTTTTAAACAAAATTTGACAGAAATGTATTATATATTTTTATAGAAACTGAAGGAAAAGTGGTAAATACCACTTTCTAGTATTTTTCATTTGATGTAACTCAGGCAGTGCCTATGTAAGTGGCTGAAGAACGGGTGGTATGTTCTGAGTCTCTCCCTCAGAGCATCAGCTTCTACCACCTGTCCTTATAGGCCTTGTTTCTCTGGGTTGCCATGTTGAGGGAGGCAAAGAAGACTGGCCCCAGATATTGTGCCTTCTCAGCAGTGGCCCCTCTCTTATGGAATGGACTCTGAGTGTAAGTACATCAAGCCTCCCTCCATTTTTCTATGAGGACGCAGATTATCTTGTTTCAAGAGGCATTCAAAGACATACTCACCTAAGTTAAATTTTTATGCATACTCTCTTTCACCATTATTAAGGCTTTTTATTTATTGTCTTCACTATCAAGAGATGTGTTTTCCATTTCAAAGAGTGGCTTTTCTTGTATACTTATTGACCTTTCCCTTAATATTGCCTGTTAATGTTGTAAGATGCCTCCTTATTAATCGTACATACTTTAAATGTTGTCTTTTAATGATGTTATCCACCGTCCTACACTCACTGTTTTCAACTTTAAATATTGTCTTTCATTGTTTGTAAGCCAACGTGGGTACTTTTCAAACAAAAAGGCAGGGAATGAATGAATAAATAAGAAACACAGGGAAATTGTTTGCAATGGGATATGATTACAGGAGCACTACCCATATCCCTATAATATAGCAATAATACTCTTCAGGAACAAAACAATATATCCCATAACTGCAGGAGGCTTCCATAACCATCCAGAGAATCCAAGAGAGCAGAAATTTCCTATCTATTTGCACAGATAATCCTATTAATATATATTAGATAATTTAAACAAAATTGTTTGGAGAGGTTATTTAGTAGAAAGGCTAGTACTGTTTCTGTTAAATTAGACATTAAATACTATATGGGAACAAAAATAAATCAGCTGGGATAGATTTCTGTCTTCCCAGACTTTCTGTATCAAATGTATGGTACATTATTATTAGGACATTATAGTTTGAAAGCATGATACAGCAGAAATGTATTTATATTTTTAATCAACCATTTAGACAATAAAACAGTAAGGAAAACAAAACCAAACAAAACAGAGATAGGCAAAAGGAGGGAATACGTAAGCGAAGAAATTATGGAAGAACTCAGGTTAATTTAAGGGAATGTGTAAATCATATTTATGATATTCTATCATACACACTCCAGATCCCAGCTCTACCTGAAACTACATCTCAAAGTCTGGTGCAGGTATTGTGAACACACTGTCATGCTCCAGAATCCTCATCAGTTTCACTTTGTAATTTTAGGTAACAGATTATGCTAAGAAATTTTAGTCTTTTATCTTATAAACTGATTTCAGACTGAATGTTTTACTTTCTCACAGCTCTGCCTATTTTTCATTTATTATACTGTTTTTACAAGTGCATGTATACTCACCTGGGATTCCCTTGGTGATAAGTGAGTAGTATATAGTATAGCACTTTTAAGTACATAAACACATTTTAGCTCCAGTCCTCAGGTGGGCAGCTTTTTAGCATTTAAACTTAATCCTTGAAAATAAGATATATGGGCAAT